ATATGACAAATGTATTCTAACATTGCTGGTGCTTCAATGGGTACGAGCTCAAGAGTGACCCCGGGCTGTCGTCTTCTGATGGCGTGGGGTGGGGGGTTGGACTGGGGGGCGTGTGGGGTTTGGGAAGAGTGACGAGCTCTAGCCGTGCGCCCACATAAAAGCAATGACCTTCTCGACATCAGCTAAACCATAAGTTTGCATTCATCTGCACAAAAAAACAACTGCGCCGTCTCCTCTACGCATGAAAACATAGCAACCATGACTAAGCACAGTGCAATTTTGACGCTGAAATTGAGAGAGAGAAAAAAACAATATTCATGATATCAGACATGCCCTTTTTGGCACTTATTATCATTAATATTAATAATAAAAAACACTGTCAAAATAACGATTTCTGTAAAAACTATTCTGCCGTTTTTGGTCAGCTTCGAACATCTGGCCAATCCTTTCTCATGCAAACATTGCGTTATGACGTCATCGGGAAGTCCCGCCCCTTTCCTTTATTCGTGGAGGTCTGAGGTAAAGGATTCAAGCAGTTTAGCGGAAACAGGGCTGCTCTTATCTGGGGTGGCGTGAAGCGTAAGAGAAGTATAAAGTGCATATTCTCGCGAGAATGGGTCAAGCTTAATGTGCAGTGATGGCAGAACAAGCTAAAGAACAGAAGCCTAATGATGTTAGTACTGACACAGCAAACACAAGCCCTAAAATCATGATCGAAAGAGTGATATGCAAACTTATGTAGTGGTGAATACATTCACGGCCATGTTAATGTCGCTAAATTAACCCTCCGTTACCCAACTTTTCCCATTGTTTTTCTTAGAAATTATCACAAAACATTGACAAGTCTGTACAAAATGAGTGCTATAGTTATGACGCTGAATATGACCATGACTATGAATGGATTTGGTTTCTGTGGCCTAGTTGGACAACAAAAACTCCATCTTGGTCTTAGCAAAACTAAAAATAAATAGGTAAAAATGTGAAAAAGCTAATATAATAGCTCAAACTGTTGTTGCCATGCAAAGATTTGTCTTCAGAATGAATGCACATTGCCTAATTGTTTTTTTTTTTTGTACGATTTTTTGTCTTCACTTTTTTTTAATCCACGCTTCACTTGGTATCATGCAATATCAACGTGCAAAAAAGATAACATCTATCTTCACAAAATACATTTTCAGAACTATAAAAGGCTGACTTAAGAATGCTGATAACTTATAAAACTTTAACCATGCTAAGCTAACTCGGCAGTCTTCTAGCCCCAGGGGATGTGTGTTAATGTCCACATGGCACCCTGTTTTTGTTTGGCCTACGAGATGAATCCCACCCTTCTTTTTTAACAAGGACTAGTTAGTTTAAGGGGGCAGAAAACTCTCAACCTTATAGTGCTAATGTCTATTTTTTGCTTCTCTAGTCACTTTACCCCCGCTAGTTATACCTTAACTGTGGCTTGTTTGGCACTTTTCACATTTTTTTTTCTTTTTTAAATTACAAAAGTATGTCTGCTCTTAACTAATGGTGTTTAAATCACATTTAAATCTGTAAAGATCTATTTTGGCACAGGTTTATTTAATCAACTGATATAGCAATTATTTCATTATCAATGTAACCTTTAGTTACACCTCTTACAACTACCACATCCTGCTAAATGACAGACCAGATATGTTTTTTTAATCTTAAATTTTAGTACATCACTTATTCAATAGCAGCATCTTCACAACTTAAAAAATAGTATATGCAAATCTACTCAACATCTAGGTAAATCCAAAGCTCCTACACAGACAGAAAAGGACAAGACATGACGACATGCTACTACGTATATTGCTTTCAGTACTCATCACATTTGATCTATTTTCCCAGTTACTAACAAAAAAACTAAACGAAAATAAAAAAACTCCCATATGTACTGAATACAAAAACAACAAAACAGAAAGCTGCTCCTTGACACTATGTTGGCACCTTTTTATAGATTTCACATTGAATTGTCACAGTAATATCTTGCTTTTAATGTGTCTTAAATCAAACGGTGATGTAACCGTTTTTTAAACAAGAAAAAATTTATCTGGGGGATCTACTGAGACTCGTTCAAGCTCTGAAGTGTCTGATGAAGTACTGCATCATGGGTAAAACCGAATGCACAGATGCACTCTAAAATGCGGAGGCGCTTGATTGCCATCGCTTCCTTGTCTTGATCTTCAAATCTGAATTATTACGTCCTATTGTTTGAAAATTGCACCTCAACAAAAACGTGCCACTATCGTATAGTAGAGTACCTGTAGTCATTGCTGTTTCAGACCTCTTCACCTTGGGCGCAACTGCTATACACATTCATATTTATCCAAACTTATCACCTTTACACGCATTTACACACACATGCACACCATACAAACACATGGATGGCTCGTATTAAGTCCCTTTTGGAAAGTGTGATGTGCGCAAGTGTGATCTACTGCAAGCTTCTAGTTCTACTCTGTAGGCGTGTCTTCCCTTTCGCATCATCATTGTTTCGTGAAAGGGCAAGCAGACATGCACTGTTACACCAGACATTGCCACCCATGGAGAGATGTGAGAGAAAAGGGGGTCTCTGGGTTGATGTGTCAGAATGGGGGTGCACGAAGGTAAAAAGGGGTGTTGAGAAGAGGTGAGGGGAGGTGATGGTTTTTAGATGAGAATAAAGAAGCCTCCTTACCAATCGGCTCAGATTTACTCTCCCTGGTGCTCCAATAGCAAAGGAGAGGAAATAATCATAACTTTAGTCATTGGGAGAGAGAGCACCAACTTTTTCTGTTGGTCTAATTCTTCTTTGGGAAATGCTCTCTGTGCTAAAGTCTGGATAATAAGGAACAGTTTGGTATTTTTAAGCTCATTCCAGCCGGTAGAGAATCTGTATGTTGTCGTTTATACACAGAATCATTTTGGAAGACACCTAGAGTTTAAACGTACAGAATATACCATCCTCTGCCCCTTCACGATAAATATACACGGTCAGCTGGCGGGTAGTTAGTGCACACTTGGAAGGATATGGTTGGATACTGCAATATGATGCCAAAAAACTGCTCCGAAGAGTCTGACCTCAACCTAACAAACCATCCAGGCTTCTTTTCGGCCCTACGGTAAGCGATATCTTGACTCCATGTAGGTTGTTATAAATATGAGACGTTCCACATGAGTACATTCCATCATGGTGATGCATCGATGCGATAACGATATAGAAACCCTGACTTTTTTTGGCCTTCCATCACGGCTTCCACACTTCACAGTGCATTAAGACAAAATTCAGTGTACTCAGATTCAAAACAAAAAGGTAATGGGACCTTATTAGCAGCACATACGTCGCACATGGGTATTTCAGATCTGCACAGGATGATCTTCACACGGGCAGCCTGTTCTAAAATTTGATTCACTGGTGACTCGGGACATATATTTAAAAAAACTGTGATAGAAAAGACAACCTGGGACTTCCATGTTACCGAGCAGCCTGTGCAGATCAGAATTTGTTCATAGTCATTCAGTAGTATGTTGTTCATGAAACGCCTCAGAGCTCTGAGGGCCAATTTCTGATTTGATATGGAATATCTACGCAAATTTTCCCGTAGATTTGCACAGAGATTCGACTGCAGTGGCTCAAAGTGCACAATCTCTCACGTTGCAGAGGGGCAGCATAGAGTAAAGATGGGGATATGTTTTGGGATGTTACATAAAAGGATTGGCTTTCATATAAAGTCGTATTCTGACACTCCCTTGGACTTGTGCAAAGACCTACATTCTCATTCAGTAGATATGTGAATAAATTGTTTAGTCCCACTGTGATTTCAAGTCTGCGTATGTTTAGTTGCATTTTCAGCATTTAAATCTGGTAATAGTTTGCTGAGTGTGTGTGTGTATATGTGTGTGTTTTGTATTAATATCACTGTACAGTACATCTGCCCCTATTCTCTCTGTTGGTGCCGACGGTGCAGTTATCACTGGACGTTAAATAAGACATATATTACATGGACACACGATTCAATCTACTTAAATAAAAAACTAAATCCAAAATATTGTCTTTACATTCATGTCAACCTGAATTCACAGATTAAGAAAAACAAAAGGAAATACCTCAATCCTTATGGGTGAAATCATATTAATAAATAACGTTGATGGTGATGATAATTTGTAATAATAATAATAGTAGTAGTAATAATAATAATGATAATAGTATTTGTATAAACACCAGACCTCAAATCCCATAGACGAATGCCACAATTTTCTAGGAGCTCTGGTACGAAAGATTCAGGTGCGTTTTGTGTCCTAGCCTATGTCCGCAACATGATCTACAAGCTTCCCTTATGCTAACAACATCTGTAGTGGCATGCACCTGGTCCAACTGGAACCCCAGGTCAATGTCTGAGAGACCCTGCAGCAGCCTCGCATCCCCTGCCCTATCCTGCCCGGAGCGGGGCAGGGTCGGGCCGGCTGGGATTGGGAGGGCTGGGGCGAGGGGGGCTGGGGTG